AAAAACCGATTATAATACAAATTACTCAGTTTCCTCTTTTAAAGATTCGTGAGTGTAGAATAGATAATAAAATAGTCACTGTACCGCTTTCGCGTTTTATGCCTGTTTGTTGCAAGTGTAAGTGTAATTGGAGAAAACAAAACAGAGCACACAACAATCTGTCAGCAATCTCTGCGTTGTGAGTTGAGATGAGAAGTGAGTTTTAAACTAATTTAATTAATTTATTAGGAACATGTCTCCTACTCCCTGTCTTCCGTTTCCCCTGAGTACCAATCTGCTCTGCACCATTATCCTTATTCATTGATTCTTTTCTATCCATCGGGAAGATCTGTGCCCTAGTAGTAGGGACATTAAAAGGCTGATGATGATTAAGTAAGTACATATTTTATAAACAATAATACTTTTTATTTCTAATATGCACTAAATAAGGATGTTTATCGTATACATTATAATTTTCCGTAAAATATTAAACGTTGTTCTGCTATCCATACTTTTTAGCAATATTTGCTTCAAGATAAGTAAGGAATACGCGTTTAGGATGAATTAAGAAAAATATTCTAGGTTTGAGTTAGGAATACAGAGTTTGGGATGAGTGACGAAATAGGATGAGACATGAGACTTCATAGGATGAATACGGTTACAACCCTTTTTAAAAGTTAAAAGTGGGTTTTATTTAAATTTCTATCTTATTATTAGTAAGATAGGGTTGTCCCTTCTTACTGTTTTATTTGATTACAATACATTATCAAATAAGAACGAAAGTAACCACATAATAATATGATACGCTACATTTAAACCTAACAAAACAATTCTATTGCATTTACGAATTATCTAGTGTTATTTAAGTACTATCTATATAATTTGTTCTACCTACTATTATGAACCATAAGACAATAGCTTTATTATTTAACGAAAAATATCTTTAAACGGAGACATTTCTAAAAGGAACCATAACAGGAAACGATTTGCAAAAAAAAGGTTCGTTTTTTTTATAAACAATTCGGGTCCATTGGCGAAATGCTTATTGTTCGAGGGGCGGGGGATGCAGCAAATGCAGTAAGGGTGAGCAATGAAATTTACCTGTGCTTATTGCATTGTGATACTAGAGTTGCTAACGTGAAGTCGTTCAGTGTTATACTATCGGTCGTACAAACATGTCGCTGACAAATCTTGAAAAGTGGTTGCTAGTGGAATATGGTAACGGCGTCCATGATTTAGTGCCTTCAGATTATTTGGTAATAAGACCAAAGCTCGAGTTAACATCTGGTTGCTCCATTACTATCAGTCATCAAGGCGAACAACAACTGGCCACCTACTTGGCCAGGTCCAGTAAGTGTCTATATTTTTATGTCAAATATTCTATAGCGTTTAATTCTATGACTTCATCACACCTAATTGATTAAAATATTATTATAATTATTATCACTTTTGTATCAAAATCTTATTCGAATTAATGTTCCCAAGTGAACATGTTTTTATTATCTTGGGCCTTTATTTTACAATGCATATATCTATGACATGTATACCTGCTTTAATAGTGCTAAACATTTCTTATAAGCTGACCATAAAAAAAATACATGCGGGTAAATTCAATATCTGACTGTATATTGATTCAACTAGATCCTAACAATCTAATGTCTTATTACATGGATAACAACATTACAATTAGTATACCCAAATGTCAGTGTATTAGTTTTACACGGAAACTTAAGCTAATATCCTTTAAATACAAAATGAAAGATACCGAAGTTGAAAGAGTGGAATCTGTCTGGGATCTGGGTATTTGGCTTGATTCTAAAACGACATTCTCATTACACATCGATAACATACTTAATAGAGCCTACTGTAGCCTAGGCTTCGTCATGCGAACTCGTGTGCTTTTTAAAACAGCCACCAGTCTTAAAATCATGTACTACGCTCATGTACGTAGTAGGTATATTAGAATACGCATGTTCAATATGGTTGTATGGCATGTTCAGTAAGATTTTTATGTGCTGCATAAAACAGCACATAAAAATCGTTGGATAACAGAAAAAAAAAAACTTAATTATCTTAATTTTAGATATTATACTCAAAAAACAACTTACAAGGAAAATTGCCATGAACACAATCTGCTGACACTCGAGGAGCGTCGCCTGGCACTGGACAAATTTCTTTTATATGATGTGTTGCGCAGGCGCCTTGATTGCCCTGAGCTTCTGGAGCAATTATGAAATAAAATGAAATTAAATTCGTACCGTAGCGATATCTAGTTTCGTGTCGGCCGATGACGGTCCCTACAAATTCGAGGCACTAAATGACGTCATACTGTGCTACGGCAGCGAAAAATGTTTGGGCGTCAGGACAATTTTTATAATATTTTTGTTATTTGTGCGTTTATACTTAAAGCTGTTTTAATGTAACTAATTTAATGCCATAATGTATATTGGCAAAGTTTATTTTCCCTACTGTTATCAAGTTCTCAAAGCGTAATATTTTCCAAATTAGTATCATTTTTATATTTATTAATTAAAATAGTCCATATTTTTCGAAAATACAGAAAACTATATTTTATGACCTATTGGAGCAAGAACTGACAATAACTTTTTGATCTAATGCAGCATTTGTTTTGATTTTAAATAAGTACCCATATGAAAGTGGCATTTCAAAGAAAAACGGGCTATATCAGCATTGTTATTTGGAGTTTATTTACTGCTCTGGGCAATAGCCCTTAAATTAAACCCTTCTATAAAATGAATGAGCACATAGATACTTACAGTAATTCAATGATAATCTTAATTATGTTTCTTTGTATGATAGATTTGCCAGTGAGATCTTACTTTACTGCCTTCAATGTAGGTAGGTAGGCTTAAAACAAGACAATAGTTCCTGGCCAATACAATTTGTATTTGTTCTAATATGTTTCTATGTTGTGAAATTTGCAACTACCTGAGTTTTTCTTTCAAGATTATAATAAGCAGTATTTAGACAATAAGATGTCGACAATTGTATACCTCATAAACACCAAGGAAGGTATTACTACCTGCCCGAAAAGGACCTTTCACGACATTGTTCTCGTCGGTTTAGAACACTGACCCACACCTATACAAAGAACATTTTGCATTAAACATGGCTTTCTTTTAACACAGACGATTCCACGTTGTTAAGGCAAATTATAGGCACTGAGCCCGGAGCGGGTGTGCCGCCAGAACCCGAAGTAGAGGACTACTCCCCTAGCGCGTCTTCCTGGGAGCCCAGTGACAACGAATCCACAGATTCAGAGGTACATAATACAAACCTTTACACTATAATAAATAATGTTCACCCGCTACAAGTAAAGTCAAGTCACTACATGTCTAATTTCCTTACTTAATATTGAACTCTGCTCTGATTACATTAAGGTTTTCACATTACAGTAAAAAATAGTATGACCTGCCCTGTGATTCTGTAAAAATCCATACCGATTTCGAATTCACTTCAAAAAGCGGCATCTCCTCAATCTTGAATCGGTAATAACATTTCGTAGCATAAGTGAAGTGAGTTTCAAAATGACATCGGAATAGAATGTCTGAGATACTATTATATTACTCTATAAAATTACTCAATTTTGTTTTGTATATTATACAAAAAATGGAATCAATAGAATTTTTACACTAAATGACGTAAATTCGGACACCTGAGTGAATTGAATTTTTACAGACTCGCAGATTGCTCACGCAACATGACGAATTCGGGAAACTCGAAAAGCAAGCGACTAAGAGACCGAGAGTGATATTATTGTATAGACATCTCTTCTAGTCGACTCGACTCGTTCTCGAGTATCTTGAATTCTTCATGATACGCGTGCCAACGTACTGTACCTACTAAAGAGTACTAATCCGTGTCAATTATTAGCGCACGCGTAACAATTTTCCTAACTTAATATTAAAAATTAAAAACAAACAGATATTTCGATAAAAAACACGACTACCAAAATCGAACTAAAAATGAAAGTTACAAGTTGTAAGTGATAAATTGAGCATTATAAATAATGATAAATAATAAGTATCATTATGAAAAATGCCCGATATGAAAGAACAATTTTAATTATAATTATTCAAATAACCAAATTGACCGGGCATTATACATATTGTTCATTAGCTTTTGGGCAAGTACAATACAAACATATTTAATTAGTAATTATTCATTTCTATTGTAATTATTTTATAATGGGCTCACTCTAGACTTCGATCTAACCCAAGGAAATAAATGAGATCAACATGTAAAAGTTATATATTTTTGGAATGCACTCATCAAGGCCTTTAATTTGACACCCATATTGCTATAATTACAAAAAATATATATATATATTTTTAAAGACGTCATACATCCGCCATTTTGATTGTTTACTACATTATTTACTAAGTGTCACAGGGGATAATGTTACTTTTCTAATAATACGTCCTTAAAGATGTATGATTATGTCCGTTAAGTCTTTCAAAAGTTATGGTTGCATAAAGAAACACGCTGAAATACACACATACAAACAGTCGTGTAAAAAGTCTTGAACTTTTTTATAATTTCGTAAAATCTTTGTGATTTTTTATTTCAGAAAAATCTTAAAATAAATGTTTCTGTTTAAAAAAATGCTTAATACGTAATTCACAATAAGGAAGTATTTTAAGAAAAAAGCAGGCCCTAAAAAGCACCTCACCAGGTGGCGACTCTCGCAAAAGTTGATTTTTGCAGGACACGAATGGACCAAAGATAGTCATTTCCGTTCCTTTTAACTGACATAAAAAACGCAAAGTTCGAGACTTAGACATCAATACAAATACAAGAAAGTACAAATATAATATGAGTTGTTTATTGGGTTTTGTAAATTAATTTACGTTTATACATGAAAGAAAACCGGAAGGGTTGTCATGGAAAAATCAGAAAGTATCGTAGCGACATATAGTTTCATTTAGGGAACTAATTTTTTTTTTCTTTGAGGAATGAACTTTATGATAGTTTTCTACAGTATCATCTATTTAGGACCCAGCCAGAAACGCGTATCTTTTATGCGGATAAGCATATGCTTAAACAAATTCAGCTACAAGGGACTTGAGCGTATTGTCATTAAAATGATAAATATTAAGATAGGATTGTTACGCATCAAACAAGTTTTTCATTCACAGTCCTATACTGGAAAATAATCTTAATAAAAAATGCTTAAAAATTTCAGAGTACAAGAGGCAAAGTGGATTTTTAACCATTTTTCATTAAGAACATTAAACAATTGTTACAAATAATTAATAAACTTTTTTCAGGTTGAAATAAAGAAGCCACGGTTGGAAGTCACTCGTAAACGAAATCCAAAGGAAAAAAGAAACAATAAAGTGATAAAGCCTTCCACTAAAGTAAAACCAGTGATTCCCAATTCCCAATTACAAAAGGTTAAAAAGATGACCATGAAAACTTATAAAAATTGTCTTAAAAAACAACATGAAACCGCAATAAAGGCACTTGAAAACAAAAAAGCAACAAAATCCACCGCTCATCTGGGGATTCAAAGGTCCCCGACCAAACATATTACCATCACTGTCGATATTAATTATGTTGTTGGGATGCTGCAGGCAATGAATAAATTGGTCACAAGCTTTAAATTAGTTAAAGACGTACCACAGCAGAGCAAAGAAGACCAAAACGAAACATTGAAAGCAAAATCCGTAGACACAATTGGTGAAGAAAGCTGTCGCAGTGACGATTCAAATCGATCTGGCGATAATGTTCTCATATCAAATAAGTATGTGAATATTGAAAACAATAAACAGGAAGCCATTGCTAATGAGCAACCAGAACTTACAACTAAGAACAGCGATACACAGGCAAAAAATACTACTAACGAAGCTTCGTCAACAGAAAATGAAAAAGATATGCAAGGAACCGTCAAAAATTATGATACAAAGCAAGATGAGACAACAAATGTTACCAAGCAAGAGAAAATACTGAGTGAAACTCAGAAGCAAGATACAGTCAAAAATACACCACTACAAAAAAAAGATAACAAGATGCAATCAAACAAAGGATCAAATGATCTGAATGATGAAAATGAATGGGTATCAATATTTTTTTATTGACAATGTAATTTGCAAATGCACTAATTACCGGTTTTTGACAACCTCCATAGTCAAGTAAGGGTCGTCCTCTCTCTATCGGGGTGAGGGATTCACGAGGGTTCAACCCGTGTGAATTCCCTCTCTTAGACAGGCTAGGGTAGGAGATGCTCAATTGCGCATCTCTTGCCTTTGACAGGGGGCAAGTCTGGCGGGTTAGCGCGCTCGCCAGGCATTGCACGCTCCTTGTCCTGTCTGGGGTTGGACTCGAATGTTCCTGAGCCCTTCCCTAACCCGAGACGGGACCCGCCCTGTTAAGGGGTGGGTCGAGCGGGGACGGCATGCGCGGGATGTTGTCCCGTTGGGGACCGTTACCGCGCGCTGATCCCCCTCAGTGAGGGACATCGCTGAGTTTTAGTGGGTAGGCCCCTGCTCTTTGACCAGCCCCATTCTGGGGTTGGTCCGTAGGGGAGAGTCCCACATAACCCGTGGAGCTCGCGCAGGGTGAAACGGGTATGCGGAAAAAAAAAGGTCGTCCTCTCTGATTTCCCGGGTTCGATTCCCGTTGGGTATCCCGGGCCTGGATATTGTGGTACCTTAGTTATTTATCCATAACACAGGGGCTTTAGTTAAATATAACATGGAAACAGTGATTATGTCATGTTTTGTAATATATGTGTCGCAGCCAACTGGGTAAATCAGCATCACAAAGTAAATAATGAACCACTTGGATGCGACATGTGTATATTTTTTACCAATGCAATTTTTTTAATAATTCACTAATTTCAGGTACCAATTGGAAGCGGTAAAACTTTCATACACAAGGAAAAATTTAGAAAAGTGAAATGGACATCTTACACTATCGCCACTAGATCTTTATTGCTGGCTCTTTTTCCAAGAAGGTATTATTACTTTTTAGTACTATACCATATGTACCGCATGAACCGAAAATAATTTGTTAATTGGTACAAATAGCGGCAAAGATCTAGTCACCTCTGAAGTTGCTTCGCGCTTGAAGTAGTTTGACGTCTATGAAGACCAATACTTTATATCCATTTTATATGGAAATTATTACTCCTAATGATGTAATAAATTGCCAAGTGCGAGTGATTCGCTAGCAAAGGGTTCGTATTCATACATTATGATGTATAATAAATTAATAACAATTATTCAATTTTATTTACTTAATTCTTTATTTATTGATAAAATTATAATTACAACGGTCTTACACCTGCAATAAAATTTGATATAGATGTGGATGTGCTACAACAAGGTTGGACATCATCCTCATCATCACTGGATTCTTGGGTGGAGTCCGTTTCGTCTCCTGTCTCCTTCTTACTTTCTGATTCGGACTCACTGTCGCTTAACCTAATGACAATTTCATCAGTTAAGGTGTCTATGACGTGGTCACTTTTTTTTTACTCTTCCTCAATCTTTTTTACTTTAGCACACAAAGCCATCCACTCAGATTCACCCATCATGTCGCATTTTTCTTGCACAAGCTCCATAACTCTGTTTACGTTCCAATTCGAGTTTCGTTTGAAGTTGGGCAGCGATGTTCCTGCTTGTTGTGATAGGATGCATTATCAACTACCACAACAGACCTGGGAGGAAGATTTGGTATCTTCGTCCCTGCTTTGAACATTAGAAGGGCATTCGGTATAAAACCGGCATCTGAACCGGCATGTACAATGACAACTCGATGTCCCTTCGAAATTTTCTTTTTTAGTCCTTCCTTTGAACCGTCTCTCCAAGATTTAGAGCTGGAATGAGTAGAATCAACATACGACTCGTCAGTGTAGATGATTGGCCTTCCTTCCTCGCGATAACGTGAAATTTGCTGTAGAAACTCTATAAGTTTCAAGCGAATATTGCTTTGTTCTATTAAAATTTTCCGGTTATCCTCTGTTTTCTTCCATTGGAATCCCAAGCGTTTTAATGTTCGTCGTAAACTTCTTTCAGAACCTTGGAAATTGATGTCTGCTTTTAATTTTCGTAGAAGTATTTTCACTGTCGGCAACTCTTTTTCCGTATGATGAAAATTGTGCACACACCTTTTAATAACGCCTTCGTCAAAATTATCTATTCCAGTTATTCTTTTTTTGCTTGACCTTTTCTTGCCGGGGGTTCTAAATACTGATAGAAGATCAGATTTATTCGCTTCTTTAACAATTCTGTTTACCGTTCTTGTTGAAACTCCGGTAGCTGCTGCAACTCTCTTCTGCACATATTTGATATGTATTTTAATACCTTCATCCGCTTCAGTCTGCATGAATGTCTTAACATTGTAAATAATTTTTCTTGCCTGCCTTTTTAAAACCGTATTCCGGTGGGACCTTTTTAGTCTTTGTGATCATACGAAAACATAACAATAGTAACAATAACAAATTAACTTAACAAATGCCGAAATGCAAAAACTTAACAAATGCAATAAAAATAACACACGTAACAACGCAATGACAACGCGTAGCCGATTGTACTTCACGAGAGAAAACAAGCGTGTGTATGCTCTGAAAGAACGCTGTACGCACACTAGCGTAACTAAGCGGCTGGGAGGCGAGGAGGGAGGCGGGCTTCGCCGCCCGCTACCTTCTCTCGTCCCTCTGATACCTAAAATTGGCTACTGCGACGCGACTCACGCGATGTTCAGAGCTGACTAGATGTTTGCCGCTATCTATACCTTACAGTAAATGGATATTTTTATGTTTCAGAACATTAGCCACACATTCTTTGACAGGAAAGAAATCACCGGCCTTTCAGAACAAACCGGCTAAGATGTGCTTGGATCCTAAAAAAATATCAGATATAATTATTGAAGTCATGGACAGATTTGACGTCAAAGAAAATCTAGTCAGGTACGTAAAATACATTTCACTCAAATACTACGAGTATAAGGCAAATTAAAATTTTGTAAGCGTAATTTAATTGGACTATTTATCTTAAACAGAATTTATTGTTTTCTACAGGAGTATAATAACAACTAAATGTGCTGACGAAAGTAAAATGTTTAGAACCAGAATGGAGAAGATGAAAAAAGCAGTACCAAAGCAACAAAATATAAAGAAGCAAAACGAGTGTGACAAAGAAAATAATTAAACTGTATATAATAATATTATGTAATTGATTAATTATATTGCTATTAATATACTATTAAAATGATTTGTGATTTAATATAAGAATAATTTGTAATAAACATTAAATTTAAAAAAAAATCTTGTTTTAAATATCATCGCTGATAGTGAATGGTCACAAATATGATGGGTATATGTTAGTTTCTCAGATTATAGAAATAAGGCAGTGCAGTATTTATGTCGTTGAAATAGCTAAATCAATCGTTCAATTCAGCGGCTAACCATTTAACAGAATGGCGCTTTTCCATTGCACGGCTAAACGTCGCATAGTCGTTGACGCTTTACATGTTGTCTTGTGTCATATCAACACACAGGATCACATCGTCGTGTGAAGTCAAAGTCAAAGTCAAAGTCAAAATAATCTTTATTCAAATAGACTTCTTAAAAGTACTTTTGAATCGTCCAACATTTTTTCCCTACCACTCGTTCAGGACGTCTTTTGGCTGATAAGAAGAACGAGCAAGAAACTCACCAGCTCTAATATGAGTAATGACATTTACAAAAACCATGTCATTACCAGATCAATACATTATAAACAGAGATAAAAAAAAACTATGGTCTTATAATAATAACATAATCATTTAATAATAATGGAAACAAGATAATGAGTTTAGAAGTAATCACCTATCCAGTTGCTGGATCATCTCAAGTCCAAGCGTTCTTATCTGTTACATAATCGGATACCTTATAATAAGCTTTTTTTGAAGCTGCTTCGCCCCCCACATCTCAAGCGTATGGCTCGACCGGTGCCCTACAAACATACTTTGTTCCATCAGCGATACATTAATAACGCGTCTTTATGAATTGTAAAAAATACCTTTTTTATTAAGTAAAACGCCATACATTCGAGCGTGATAAATTCGAAACTGGTAAAGGACTGTATTGACAGATTGAATGAACTGGGGCAAAAATATAAAATTATTCTCAAATGGGTACCAGGACACTCGGGCATCATCGGCAATGAAAAAGCGGATGAATTAGCAAGGGCTGGAGCACAGGGACTACAAATAGGACCAGAACCCTTTTGCCACAGTATAAGTATGACACAGTATAGAAACTAAGCCTATTTAATAAAATAAATACCTACGCTCCATTGAAACCATAGGGTTGTCATTTTGAATGTTTTAGACATTGTTTCTTTTACAAAATATAAAAGGAGTCTGACATTATTAATCAATCGAATTGTAATAACTAATTAACAAACAAAAAAAAATATACATACACATTTGTTAAGACGGTGATATCTACTTATATTATTCTATATCACCACCACATGCGAACACAACATATGCGAAAACTGGGCAGTTCTGGAAATATAGCATACGTACAGGTCGAATTGATAACCTTCATTTTTTGAAGTTGGTTAATCTCAGCAAAAGACGATAGTTTAACATACGAGAAATAGTTTAATATCGACACAACTTGTAAATCTTTGTTTTTATGTTGATCTTTAACTTGACATTACGGCATAACCTTGTACAAGTTTTTGACGGACACATAGCCGAAGAGCGCACGAAACGTCTAACATTTCGTGCTCTCTTCGGATCGGAGGCATGGTAGGTAGGCACTGCATTTAGGTGGCGCGCTCATGAGCGGGTGTTTTTGGGTGTTTATCAAGCATTTTCGGGTGGGACCGTACTACGTTTCAACCCGAAAATATACCAGATACTGAAACGGGTATTTAAAAAAAAACTAATTCTAAAAAAAACTTATTTTTTATTTCTCATAAGCCTACTCCTTTCCTTCATTTTTTAAATAAAAACGATCGCGGAACGTGTAACGTAACCCCTCATCTCAACGCGATACGCGTTACTGAGCATCCTGTTAGGTCCACTTAGGCGGCTCGTCGGTGAGCGTGTTTATGTGTGTGTGCGATTTCGAACGCTTGTAGGCAGTTTCACCACTGTCTACTTATATTTACACTGTGCTTTTGCGGTATCCCTAAAAACCATGTGATGCAAATTCTAAAAAATGACCTGCAAGGGGATTCAAAAAAATACTGGCAAAAACAACCGGGATTAAATCACGCAAAATCCCTAATTTAAGGTCATTCACAAAAACTAGCTGAAGAGCTCTTGAAGCTAAAGAGAGCAAATATAAGCTTAATTGTACGAGCCCTATCTGGACATTGCAAATTAAACAGACACCTATTTAACATGAAACTAAGTGACACTGAGACACTTGCAGATATTGCAAACAGGAACGTGAAACACCAAAACATCTCCTGTGTGAATGTGGACCACTGATCCACAAACGAAGCATAAATCTGGGGCGACATATAATCAGCCCAGAAGATATAAAATCTCTAAAAGCCAGGAATATAATAGACTTCTTGAAGTCTACCGGGCTAAAGAAGTTACTATAGATCTAGCGGCGAGTCACAATAGATCTTCAAGGTCGCAGTGACTACAGTTCCTCAGGGAACTGCATAGCTCCTTACAGCAATAAATAATAATAAGTAAAACGTGCGCCATACCTACACTAAGGGCGTTTGTGCACTACACTGAATGTTAAGGTCCGACAGTCCTATTTTTGCCGGTCCGATATGTTGGTATTGCTAGACTGTGCATTGTCCAGAATTTTACTTTTTTCTATTCCGGACTGGTTTTTCTGGACCGCGATGGAGGTAATGAAAAATGTTTAACGCTTCTGCACTGCTGTGTCCGCGAAGGAGAACATTTTTTTATATGAAAGTTGGTATTTTATTCAAATTATCACTAACCAAGCATAAATTATATATAAATCGATTTTATTTTATTTTTTGGCGCGCAAAATGTTTATTTTCTGGTTTGAACATGATTTGATTATATTTTATAATTTATGTAGCAACACACACATTAAGAAAATCTATGGCAGCCCCATCCCTAAGTTACATTCAAATTTATGCTGTGAATTAATATATTTGGACAATGCTGAATCATTATTGTTATTAATTATTGATATTTCAGACATCTAAATGTCAAATACAGAGATATTTTAATCGAATCGAAGCTCGTCGACGCGGATTAGGCCCGGTTTGAGTCTTTTTTACGTGACTTACTATACTAAAATACATATTTAACAAATTATTAATTCAATTTTTACAATATTGATATATGATTCTTCCACTAGAGACGCCTAGTTATAATAAGGTGCATTGGGGTAATAATCAAAACGCAAATCCTGAAAGTGACGAGTTAACAACAAATCAGGTATTTGGTCGGTAAAGTTGACTATTAAACAGCCTTATACTAGATAAAAAACTTTGAATTACAACAAACATATTGTTTTTTGTTTAATTTCTGTGAAATCTGAAAAATTCGAAACTTTAATATCAATACAACAAATACGAAAAAGAACAAATAGAATATGAGATATTTATTGAGTTTTGAAAACTAATTTACTTTTAAACTTGAAAGAAAACCGGTATGGTTGTCATGGGGAAATCAAGAACGTACTGTAGCGACATCTAGTTTGATTTCGGAAACTAATGTTTTTTTTGTAATACTTCCTCATTACCTCAAAGTACCCTACCGAAGGCTAGGCTGTATACAAAGACCTCTGCCTTTGTTTTAATTTGAGACGTTTTCGTTTTTTATTTGAGTTTTACGGCTAGTATCACAGATTAGTTTCTTGTATGCACCTAGTGTTTCTAGGCTAACCATTAATTTTTCACATCATTTCTCTAAAACGGTACCCCCGTTTTCAGGCCTGAAACTTTGATGAAAGATAGAGGATTGGGCACAGAACACAGAAAGTCGTTAGAAGGGCCTTGTGGGCGTGGCAGTGTAGCTACGATCCGGGACAAATGTACAGGATTGTGACTTCACTATGTGATCGCGATGTTTAATCATTCACGAACGCGCGCGCTGTAAGTGCTGTGAAACACGCTACTAAAAGTGTTAAAAATGCCGACTTGCGCAGTTATTAATTGCAAAACAAGAAGCCCATCCTCAAATAGGTCCAAAAGAAGGATTTCGTTCTATTAGTAAGTAGAACACTTCTCAAATTTAGTATCTTTTGTCGAAATTCGTGAAATGTTATCAAAAGTGTGAATCACAAAAAAATATTTCCAAGAAAATATACGTTGCTGGAGAAGTATACATATTTATTACATTGCGTCATGCTAAGCACGTAATGTAAAGAACATCGCGAAATCACCCTTTTAAATAGTAACATAATAGATTACGGTAGATGATTAGTGAAGTGACTGAAAACATTTAATCGATTCTTAGTGTGAGTGTGGTGTAGCGAAAGAATCTGTTTTTATATTCTTAATAATGGGTATTTGACACTATCGAAAATAAGTTGCATTTTGTGGTCATCCTGATAGATAATAATCTAATTAAGCTTATTTCTTAACATCTGCAGAAAAAACATGTTTAGATTTAGTAAAATAACGTAAAGAAAATGCAATATTTTTAGGAATTTATTCAACGACGAAAACGTCCTATAATTGGTCGTCGTCACAACCAATCACGATTCTGTTTACTGGCCTGTAACGTCATCAGCTGTCATGTCAAAGTAGTGTTAGAAAGATACATAGAATATCGATGCCTGTAGGTATCGAGTACTTTATAGTAATTTACTGATAACAGAATACTTTGCCGGTTCTATTGATAAGAACTGCCAAAAAGAAATACAGAAAAAAATAATCATTTACTAAGCTTTTTAAAAAATCCAAGAAATAGGGAAAACGCCAGCTATTTAAAAAAAGAGCAACTTACATGTTTTTCTCATTTCTTGAACTTTACTATAATAATTCAAAGTACAAAGTCGATTTTGATGATATATAGTGTTCTCCAAGTTAAAAAGTAATGAAAAAAAAAACATCGGTATCTGATATCTAATTATCAAATGCCATGCATTTGGACAGACATACTACATGCATGTATAAAAAAATAGAATATTCTTTTTCGTACTAATGTCTCATCCATCTGCAGGTCGACAGGCTGTAAAGTGCGGGCCCTGTCAACAAATATAAATGAGTCGTAAAATGTTAATGACAAAGAAAAAAACCATAAAGAAAACCTTCAAATGTATCGATATGAAATAAAAAAGTTTCAATACTTTTAGCGAATCCTTACCTAATTTTATCAACCATCTCTATTCTATATAGCTACTATACTATTGTGATTGTGAATCTATTTTTTTCTAGACTCGAAGTTTGTTT